ATTCCTGCCACTTGACAATAATGTCGGGGCACTATTCCTCCCACTGACACCAATGATGGGGCACTATTCCTCCCACTGACATAAATGGCGGGCACTTAAATGATGGGGCACTATTCCTCCCACTAATACCAATGATAGAGCACTATTCCTCCTACTGACACCAGTGATGGGGCACTATTCCTCCCACTGACACCAATGATGGGGCACTATTCCTCCCACTGATACCAATGATGGAGCACTATTCCTCCCACTGACACCAATGATGGGGCACTGTTTCTCCCACTGATGCAAATTATGGGACACTATTCCTCCTACTCACACAAATGATGGGGCACTATTCCTCCCACTGATACCAATGATGGGGCACTATTCCTCTCACTGATACCAATGATGGGGCACTATACCTCCCACTGACACCAATGATGGGGCACTGGTCCACCCACTAACACCATTGATAGGGCACTATTTCTCCCACTGACACCAATGATGGGGCACTATTCCTCCTACTGATACCAATGATGGGGCACTATTCCTCCCACTGACACCAATGATGGCGCACTATTCCTCCCACTGACACCAACGATGGGGCACTATTCCTCCTACTCACACAAATGATGGGGCACTAGTCCTTCCACTGATATGGGACACTGTTCCTCCCATTGACACCAATGACGGGGCACTATTCCTCCCACTGACAGGGCACTGTTTTTAAAATTGGCCTGGAAGTGGTTATTGGGTTGCCAAACAGAACAGAAAATGATAGAAAATCTATGCACGTTCTGCCAGTTTGCTGGGTGTCAGACACAAGAGGAAGTATTGGCAGATCTCCTTACTTCCGATTTCATGGGTGCCAGACAGAAAAGTAAGTGATGTAAAAATCTCACTACTTCCTATTTGTCTGATGGGTGTCACCCCCAGGGTGTAGGGAGATCTTCCTTTACTTTGTCTATGTACCTGAAAGAATGGGTAGTAAAAGAGAAAAACCTTCAAAGGGGACACAGATAGCATAAAGAAAAACATTTCTAGAAGAGCAAGAAAGAGTGAGAACCTCTGTAAATCAAGGGTTAACTACTCATTTAGGTCCAGGGGTCGTGGAAAAGAAGAGTTACACTCCCGCTGGCTTTTCAGCATTGCAAGACCATTTCTCCATGCTCTGGAGCAGGGGTGGGCAACTGTGGCCCTCCAGCTGTTGGTGAACTACAAGCCCCATCATGCCTCTGCCTTTGGGAGTCATGCTTGTAACTGTCAGTTTTGCAATACCTCATGGGACTTGTAGTTCTACAACAACTGGAGGGCCACAGTTGCCCACCCCTGCTCTGGAGGTATGAGGTCCTCTGACATCATCAAGTTCAATTCAGGGACCCATAGCCATGCATTGGATGTAAGGACGCCGAGGGACAGTCCACTGTTGGAGCATAGAGGGTGTGCCATCTGCTGGGAAGTGAAGGATCGTGTAAGTAAAATTGCTTTTACCATCCCCATAACTAAAGCAGTTAACCTTTGCAATGCAGAACAGCAAGAGAAAAATTTCAGGTTTCCCAGAATTCAGCTTTACCACCAGAGCTGGGTTTGAAAGCTGTATTTCAGAAACACAGATTAGATGCCTTAATAAAATACCTGGAGAGTTTGATGTCAGATCTCAACAAGGTGAGAAGCCTAGTGAGAACCCTTTCCTGCCAACTCTTCTTTGTATTCTGGAAGTACAATGAATGTAGAGATTAGAAAATCCCTTTCTGAAGCGCCATCTGACTCTGAGCTCACCAGCACAGCTAGAGATGTTTTGACCGTGAGCTCTCACGTCCTTCGATGACCAACTTTCTTCAGTACAAAGACCAATGACGCATCAAAATATCCAGAAGAATCACCTTCAGGATTTCGTCTCAGCATCCTACTACAGTAGCTGGAAGTTATATCTTAGAAACTCTTGCTAATGACGTTCCTTTGGGTACAAACATTGGATTTCAGAAGTATGGAGACTTTGAGGATTAAAAAGACCCTCAATAAGTGCCTGCTGGATATGATGTTAGAAGTTCTACACAACAAACAGGGGTCTTAGGAACATGGTCTTGTAGCAGAATGTCTGGGCATAAAAAAAAAAAATAGAGAAGAAAAAAAAATCAGTACATCTCTGCATTGTTTTGTCACTTTCTGCAAGTACAGAAAAATCTCTGGCAGAAATCCAGTGAGCTCCTAACTTCCCGTAGTGTAGTGCGGGGTCAACCCAGTTTTCCCCTGCTGTTCTCCCTGCTCTCACCCCCTGGAGAATTTTCCATTTTTTTACTCCAGTTCCACCCCTGGCTGTCATTCTCACCTAGCTGAGAATGACGTGTTCTTGGTCCTACAACCTCCTGGAATACTACGCCAATATGCCAAGAGAATGCATGGGTAGGGCCTCACAGTGCACCTAGTGCACATCATCAAGTCCAACTGCAGGAACCCTCAAGAGGTAGCTGGCTTCTGATAAATGAGGATCAAGATGGTGGCTGCAATAACCTGGAAGAGGTACCTGGCTTCTGAAGGATGCGGAGAACCAAGCTGGTAGCTGTAAGAACCCAGAAGAGGTAGCTGGCTTTGGATAAGTAAGAAGGACCAAGATGGTGGCTGCAAGAACCCAGAAGAGGTGACTGGCTTCTGATGACTAAAGAAGAGCAAGATGTCAGCTGCAAGAAACCAGATAGCTGGCTTCTGATAAATGAGGAGAACCAAGATGGTGTCTGCAAGAACCCAGAGTAGGTAGCTGGTTTCCGATGAATGTGGAGGGCCAAGATGTCAGCTACAAGAACCCAGAAGAAGTAGCTGGCTTCTGACGGCTAAGGAGGAGCAAAATGTCAGTTACAACAACCCAGAAGAGGTAGCTGGCTTCTGATGAATGAGAACTAAGAGGGTGACCGCAAGAAGAACCCAGAAGAGGTAGCTGGCTTCTGATGAATGAGGAAAACCAAAAGGGTGACCGCAAGAACCCAGAAGAGGTAGCTGGATTCTGATGAATGAGGAGAACTGAGAAGGTGACCGCAAGAACCCAGAAGAGGTAGCTGAATTTTTATGAATGAGGGGAACCAAGAGGGTGACTGCAAGAACCCAGAAGAGGTAGCTGAATTCTGATGAATGTGGAGAACCAAGAGGGTGACCGCAAGAACCCAGAAGAGGTAGCTGAATTTTTATGAATGAGGGGAACCAAGAGTGTGACTGCAAGAACCCAGAAGAGGTAGCTGGCTTCTGATGAATGAGGAAAACCAAAAGGGTGACTGCAAGAACCCAGAAGAGGTAGCTGAATTCTGATGAATGAGGGGAACCAAGAGGGTGACTGCAAGAACCCAGAAGAGGTAGCTGGCTTCTGATGAATGAGGAAAACCAAAAGGGTGACTGCAAGAACCCAGAAGAGGTAGCTGAATTCTGATGAATGTGGAGAACCAAGAGGGTGACCGCAAGAACCCAGAAGAGGTAGCTGAATTCTGATGAATGTGGAGAACCAAGAGGGTGATGGCAAGAACTCAGAAGAGGTAGCTGGCTTCTGATGAATGAGGGGAACCAAGAGGGTGACTGCAAGAACCCAGAAGAGGTAGCTGGCTTCTGATGAATGAGGAAAACCAAAAGGGTGACTGCAAGAACCCAGAAGAGGTAGCTGGATTCTGATGAATGAGGAGAACTAAGAGGGTGACCGCAAGAACCCAGAAGAGGTAGCTGAATTTTTATGAATGAGGGGAACCAAGAGTGTGACTGCACGAACCCAGAAGAGGTAGCTGGCTTCTGATGAATGAGGAAAACCAAAAGGGTGACTGCAAGAACCCAGAAGAGGTAGATGAATTCTGATGAATGAGAGGAACCAAGAGGGTGACCGCAAGAACCCAGAAGAGGTAGCTGGCTTCTGATGAATGAGGGGAACCAAGAGGGTGACCGCAAGAGCCCAGGAGAGGTAGCTGAATTCTGATGAATGAGGGGAACCAAAAGGGTGACTGCAAGAACCCAGAAGAGGTAGCTGGATTCTGATGACAGAGAAGGACCAAGATGGCGGTGTTGCACCTGGGCAGATCTCAGCACTACAATGCTGGATTCAATGGACAGGTGAGTATGTGAATTGAGGACAACCCAACAAAGCAAGTAAGAAAGGTTAAAAAAAGAATGGTGGGTGTTTATAACTACTGAGATGAGATAAGATTGGTATTTCAAGATTGCACCATGGACGCAGAAACAGAAAGCTGTGAGCTGAGGCTATGTGTACCGCGCAGCACTTGTAAGCTCTTAAAGCTTTAACATTTAGAAATCGAGATGAATTTGGTGGGATTTTGTTTCCCACCTTTGTTCACCTCTGGATACTAAATCTAGCAAAAGAACACCCACTTTACGGGGGTCCAAGGGAACTGAGAATGGCCAGAAGGCTTCACCAAGCAATATATTTCCCCAACAGGCAAAAGTGGTTTTATATAAAAATATATTCAGATCAAGGAGAGGAATTTGGAGGAGCAGACTGGATAAAGCATACAGAATGTCAACATCCATCAAAAACAAACACCACAAATTGGTTGCTACGTTCCGTAAATCCTTCATGAACGCGCTAGCCAGACGGCAACCAAGCTGAGGTATTGCTTTCTGTAAACTTTATTGACGCAGATACTGGATATTTTTATATTTTGTTTTTCAGCATAAGTGCTCTTATCCCTTAACAGCCTCAGTCCGAGCTCTTCTAGAATCCGCTCCTCTACAACGTAGGCACTTAGAGGTCCGCCAGAAAGTTCCCGCACCCGCCTAGATCTGTCTCAGAAACAGCAGAATAGAGGAACGGAGATAAAAGTTCACTTCTCCATCACAGCCTGAAAGCTTCTTCATTACAGAAAAAGCTTGTCTCTATTAAAAATCGCAATAACTGCTAGATAAACTATTTTATAAATGTGTGTTATTAATAGCGAAAAGTCTGCAGATGGAAAAAAATCTCCCCTTTTACCAGATCAAAGTGGTGTTAATAATATTGTGTGGGTGGGAGAAGCAAAAACATGACCTCTTATCCTTTCCCTGTTCAGAGAAAAACCTTTCTCCATAATTGGCCCCTTAACTCTAAAGGTTCTTCTTGGAGACCCTCCATTTCATCCTTAAAGTGTTACTAAACCCAGGTCCCTGCATTCACTGTATCCGCTCTCCCCGGACCCCGCATTCACTGTATCCGCTCTCCCCGGACCCCGCATTCACTATATCCGCTCTCCCCGGACCCCGCATTCACTATATCCGCTCTCCACGGACCCCGCATTCACTGTATCCGCTCTCCCCGGACCCCGCATTCACTGTATCCGCTCTCCCCGGTCCCCGCAACCACTGTATCCGCTCTCCCCGGACCCCGCATTCACTGTATCCGCTCTCCCCGGACCCCGCATTCACTGTATCCGCTCTCCCCGGACCCCGCAATCGCTGTATCCGCTCTCCCCGGTCCCCGCATTCGCTGTATCCGCTCTCCCCGGACCCCGCATTCGCTGTATCCGCTCTCTTAGGACCCCGCATTCGCTGTATCCGCTCTCCCCGGACCCCGCATTCACTGTATCCGCTCTCCCCGGACCCCGCATTCACTGTATCCGCTCTCCCCGGACCCCGCATTCACTGTATCTGCTCTCCCCGGACCCCGCATTCACTGTATCTGCTCTCCCCGGACCCCGCATTCACTGTATCCGCTCTCCCCGGACCCCGCATTCACTGTATCCGCTCTCCCCGGACCCTGCATTCACTATATCCGCTCTCCCCGGACCCCGCATTCACTGTATCCGCTCTCCCTGGACCTTGCATTTATTTTGATGTATTTATATCTGCCCAGCAACAAAAAAAAAAAAAAAAAAGAAGCAAAATGCATCAAATAAGCAGCAAAAACACATGTACAAAAACGCAAAACGCACTGCAGAAACGGGTCAAACGCAGACTGCATAGGCGTGAACCTAGCGTAATGCAGATTTTGTATATGATGTCGTACTTTTAGCCTTCTGTTTTGTTCTGAGCCCAAAGACCTCAAGCGATCTCCTGGCCCCTGAATGTGCATAACAGCATGAAATAACAGAGCCTTCCTTGCTGCATTTGTACCATTCACGTCATTCTGTTCTGCGCACTCAGGAGCTGAGCTACAGAATGAGGACTGGCAAGTGACTGGATAGACTGCCCTGTAAGCAATCCAGGAATCAGATCCTTGCACCAATCAGAATCACTTTTCTTTAAAAATGGATGGTGTTGAAACAATATAAAAAAAATAAAAAAAAAACACAAACTTTTTTTTTAATATTGAAAACTTTATTAACAGACAGAATGGGGGGATGGGTGTGGGGTGGGGTGGGGTAGGATGGGGATGGGTGGAATGGTGATGGGGTGGGGGTGGGGTAGGGGTAGGTTTGGGGGTATATAAGCATTACATGATATATAATTAGATCAGCAGCAGTGGGATGGGGGGGGTGGAATGGTGATGGGGTGGGTGTGGGGGTGGGGGCAGGGTGGGGTGGGTGTGGGTTGGGGGTATATAGGCATTACATGATATATAATTAGATCAGCAGCAAGGGTTGGGGTGGGATGGGGTGGGGTGGAATGGTGATGGGGTGGGGGTGGGGGATATATAGGCATTACATGATATATAATTAGATCAGCAGCAAGGGGTGGGATGGGGTGGGGTGGAATGGTGATGGGGTGGGAGGGGGGGGTGGGGTTGGGGGGGGGTGGGGGGTATATAGGCATTACATGATATATAATTAGATCAGCAGCAAGGGGTGGGATGGGGTGGGGTGGAATGGTGATGGGGTGGGAGTGGGGGTGGGGTTGGGGGTGGGGGTGGGGGGTATATAGGCATTACATGATATATAATTAGATCAGCAGCAAGGGTTGGGGTGGGGGTGGGATGGGGTGGGGTGGAATGGTGATGGGGTGGGAGTGGGGGTGGGGTTGGGGTGGGGGGGTGGGGGGTATATAGGCATTACATGATATATAATTAGATCAGCAGCAAGGGTTGGGGTGGGGGTGGGTGGGGTGTGGGGTGGGGTGGAATGGGATGGGGTGGGAGTGGGGGTGGGGGGGTGGGGGGGTGGGGGGTATATAGGCATTACATGATATATAATTAGATCAGCAGCAAGGGTTGGGGTGGGGGGGGGGGGGGGTATATAGGCATTACATGATATATAATTAGATCAGCAGCAAAGGTGCCTCGGCTTCCTCTCCTCCCTCTACAAGGACATCTCTGCCAGTTTACTATTGGCATACATTTGACTCGTCACCAGCACATTATTCGTCTGCACAGGACTGAAAAAAAAAAAAGACAGTTAAGAATAATTAGCTCCAAAGCTTCTATGATTTTTTGTAACATTATAATTTATAACTTTTTATCAGCTGCAGTAACAATGACTTTTTTACAGCAGATATTTCACCCTCTGCAAAACTAGAGTGGGAAAATGACAAAAAAGAAACAAAAGTTACAAAGTATCTTTCTTTTTTTTCTTTTGCAGGATGTAGCAGTATATATATAGCAGTCTCCTGACTCCTGAGTGTGCATAACAACATCAGACAACAGAGCCCTCCTTGGTACGTACAGTCCTGTTATTTCAAAGGTTCTTCACTTTTTGGAGGAGAGCTACAGGATAAGGACTGGCAGGTGACAAGACAACTGTCAGAGATCAGATGACCTCCACACTCTGACTCCCAGCTCTAGAGTCATCCTCAGATCAAATATGTATAGCTAACCCACATGGAAGAAAAATATATTTTAAAAATATTCTTCCCAAATATATTGACATATATTTGAAACAGTACAATTTTGGCCGTATTCATTATATATATAAATAATTAACAAAAAAAAATATTTATATATATATATATATATATATATATATATGTATTATTATTATACAGTATTTATATAGCGCCAAAGGGTATGCTCAGCGCTGTACAGTAGCAAGGGGGGACAGAACATGAGACAAGACAGAAACAATACAATACACGAGGGGTTCGAGGGCCCTGCTCTTTCGAGCTTACAATCTATATATATATATATACAGTTGTGTTCAAAATAATAGCAGTCAGACATCACTAACCAGATCAATCTCTGTTTTTGGTAGAAATGATCTTTCTACATGGCAAATAATTTCCTAGCAGGTGTAGTAGAGTAATAGAAATCCAACAGACCCGACAGTCATGACATGCATGCTGCTGATTCTGTGTCATTGAATCACTCATTGAAAGGGGCGTGTTCACAATAATAGCAGTGTGGAGTTCTATTAGTGAGGTCATTCATTCTTTGAAAAACAGGTGGCAATTATTGCCCTTATTTAAGGAAGGAAGGCAGCAAATGTTGGACATGCTGGTTACAGTGCATTTCTCTCTGAAATTCTGAGGAAAATGGGTCGTTCCAGACCTTGTTCAGAAGAACAGTGTACCTTGATTAAGACGTTGATTGGAGAGGGGAAAACATATAAAGAAGTGCAGAAAATGATCGGCTTGCTCAGCTAAAATGATCGCAAATGCTTTAAAATGGCAACCAAAACCTGAAAGACGTGGAAGAAAGCGAAAAACTACCATTGGAATGGATAGAAGAAAAGCCAAAATGGCGCGGACTCAGCCAACAATCAGCTCCAGGAAGATGAAAAGAAGGTGTGACGTTCCCTGTGAGTACTGTTACAATTAGAAGACGCCGATGTGAAGCCAAGCTATCTGCAAGAAGTCCCCGCAAAGTCCCACTGTTGGAAAAAAGACGTGTGCTGAAGAGGTGACAATCTGCCAAAGAGCACATTGACTGGCCTAAAGAGAAATGGGGCAACATTTTGTGGACTGATGGAAGTAAGATTGTTCTTTTTGGGTGTAGTGGTCGGAGACAGTTTGTCAAACACTGAATTTAAGCCACAGTACACTGTGAAGACCGTGAAGCATGGTGGTGCAAGCATCATGATATGGGGATGTTTCTCATACTACGGGTGTTGGGCCTATTTATCGCATACCAGGGATCATGGATCAGTTTGAATCCATCAGAATACTTGAAGAGGTCATGCTGCCTTATGCTGAAGAGGAAATGCCCTTGAAATGGGTGTTCCAACAAGACAACGACCCCAAACACACCAGTAAACGTGCAACATCTTGGTTCCAGACCAACAAGATGGACGTTATGGAGTGACCAGCCCAATCCCCGGATCTTAATCCAATAGAAAACTTGTGGGGTGACATCACAAATGCCGTTTCTGAGGCAAAACCAAGAAATAGAGAAGAACTGTGGAATGTGGTCCAATCATCCTGGGCTGGAATACCTGATCACAGGGGCCAGAAGTTGGGTGACTCCATGCAACACAGATGTACAGCAGTTCTCAGAAACAGTGCGACTACAACCAAATATTCATGAAGTCATTCAAAGGAAAGCAAAATCTTCAAACATTTCTCAGTTTATATAGTGAATGTTGGAGTTTGTAAAGAAGAATACAAACACTGCGATTTTTTTTGAACCGTCTAATATTCACTTTTCTTCCATTTTTTTTAGAGGAACAACACAAATTTGATGTATTTTTCTTCATGTTTTGATTTTGGAATAGAATGTGTCGTGTTCCCAATGCATTTGTGTGGATGGAAATAAAAGCTATTAGAAGGATTTTCAGCTTTATTCACTTTTTTTTCAACACACTGCTATTATGTTGAACACAACTGTATATATATATATATATATATATATATATATATATATATATATATATGTATACATACACATACTGTATGTTGAAATGCTTTTTTATATATTACAAACTATATGAAAAATATTTTAAAGAATAAATTACAAATATTCTTTAAAAAATAATTTAATCTACATTTTTGGAATGCATTTACAAATATATGTTAAAATGACTTTTTTTAAATGTTAAAAAAAATCTGAAGTATATATTTAAAAAATATATATTTTTAAAAATATTTTTCAGATATTTTGTAATATAAACAAAATGCATTTCAGCATACAGTATATATATATATATATATATATAAATAATATAGCCAAACATTGTAGCATTTCACATATATGTCAATATATTTGGGAAGAATATTTTTAAAATATATTTTTCTTCCATGTGGGAAATAAGGGGCAAATATGAGTACATTGTAAATAAAGCTGGTCATGCACTAAGAGATTTTCTTTTCTTTTTTCTTGTTAACAAGAAAATTTGTATTGATTTTTCAAAGAAAATGCACAATAGTGTTCCAAGGATAACAATAGGTCATTCACACATACTGATTATCGGAATAATTGGTAGTATACAAAAACAGAAGCAGAATTTATTGTTAGACAGTGAATAAGGCTGTATTAGCTTTACAGTATAATAGGCCCTGATTACCCCATAGAGGGTTCAGACCCTAAGCAGGGTGTAAATTTAGTATAGACTGTGGTATCATGTTGGAGGAGAAAAAAAAAAACAATAATAGATTAATACTAATAATATTAAAATTTAATTTCTTATAAATACTACTGGCCATATTTTGCATCCAATTTCATTGTTAACTGCATTCTGGTATGAAAAAAAAAAAGAAAATGTATATGAAAGGAACCTTTCAAATCTGAGAGACCT